GTTGAAAAGAACAAGATTGCAGCCATGCCATGATTTCCTTCCTTCAACTTGACAACGAAAAAGATGAAGCTTCATTCTCATGTGTCTTCATTTTTTTGAAGTATCTTCTTTCATTCTCAATTTTGTTTTCGATGATCCGTTGAAGACTTCCCCAAGTTCATGTCACATATCTTCAATATTCTAAGAAGGAATAAGTAGTGTGTCAAATCCATCAAATAATAAAGGCCTAGCTTGGCTAATTAAGCCAATCAAAATTTCACTTTTATCCGTGGCATGCAACTCTCAACCTAACTCCTTTTAACCTTTGAATGCAGGCCCGAAGTTTCAAGATCAAATGGAAAGATTGCGTCGCGCTAGGAAATGAAGGTTAAAGCATCTACAGTCGGGCGTCCCAAACCCGGCTCAAACGATCGGACGGACGGCCCGGTCACTAACCGTTCACAAAAATTCGACTCAGATGGGCTCCTTAAATGGGCCTCAAACGCCCGGCTGAACGACACCCCTCATATTTAGCCCAAATATGGAACGGATATGCGGGCACCCAGGCGCGCCCGCCACGTCCGACCCAACAGCCCTACCCCATCGTAAATTACACCAAATCCACCAAACCCTTCCTCTTACCTTTCTCGCGCTCGAGCCCTCGTCGTCCGTCACCGTTGCTCCCCATCCTCACCACCGGTTCCCAACCGCCGCCCTAGATGTCATTAAGCCCGACCCCGACCGTCGCGACGAGACTGCATCCGTCTCGTCCGTCGCTTCCCGTCCTCGGCTCCGTCGTGCAAGGCGGAGACCGTTGCCCAAAGGATGCGGCGAAGCCGACAGCGAGAAAGGGAAGTGGCGGCGATGGCGCATGGAGATGCGGACATGGACGAGCAGTTTTCCCCTCCCCCAGCCGTGCCTTGAACCCCGCACCCCATCCACCTGTCTGCCGACGCGGATTTCACCGTCGGACCATGTTGGGACAAATGAGGATCCGATGGCCGGTTGGGGCATTTCGGAGAGCTTTCCGCCCACGCAGATGCCGACAGTGGACATTTGTCACTCATCATAGCTCGTTCGGGCATGAATGAGCATGGGCACCGGCGGCGCCTAGGCTACCCACGACCTATTCGACGGAATGACACAACAAGAGTCGATATGTTTTTGTTGCTCCTGTCTGATCAACTTTGCATATGGCATGTTTAATGTTTTGCACGGACCGCTAGTTCATTTTGTACATGACGAATACTTGCGAATCATGATCATTTAGGAGTTGTTCTTGTCAGACATCATCAATGACAATCATGGTCCAACTCAAGTGGAGTATGAATTGGGGGGCATCATATCCTATCATGACCAACCACAAATGTGGCATCTCTCCAACATCGACGGGGGATCATTCAAGGGAAAGTGAACAAGTATGTCTGCACCTACTCACAGGTGACCAAACGCCCTCAAAGTGGAATGGGAGTGACAACTCACGTAAGCTCAATTGCTTCATCTTGTAGTCATTTGCATATGCTTCTTTTGTTTGCATTTTCGTGCTCATACGTATGTTGTTTGCTAGACGGCGGCGGCAGCCACTTTGTATCAGGAAATGGAGAAGAAGTCGTTTGCTTTTAGCCATTGTTGGATCATATTGAATGGAGTGCCAAAGTGGACACTACTTGTGGCCGATCTCAAGGCCAGCAAGAAGAGGAATGATGGATCAATCTACCACCAATAAATTGGCCGTTGGACGATGAAGAGGGCGATATTGTCTTTAAGAATGGAAGAGCCACCATGCCAAAGGATAACTGACAAGTCATGGGAAACAAGTGGGAGAAGGCAAGGGCCTCCCGTGACGCCGCGACTACAAAAATGTCCTCTACATGGATGATCATTTTTTCGGCAAGAGAGAATAATAAAGAGGAGAGGTACAAGCTCAGGTTGGATGCGTAAAAGGAGAGGATGGATTAAGACCGAAAGAGGGTGGAGAAGAAGCTGAAAATTGAGAGGGAGAAGATCGAGTTGGAGAAGTGAGAGGTGACTATCAAATGGGAGCTCGAGAAGGCCAAGGCATTTGGAGAGATTGAACTTGAGAAGGAACTCGCATAGGAAGCGGAGGATGTGAAGATCATGTTGGTAGACGAAACCCTCTTGGATGAGCATGCAAAGAAGTGACTTGTAGAGAAGAAGAAGGAGATCAACGAGCGTAGGGAGTACGAGGCGGCGAGGGCGGCTGCGGCAGCAGCGGAGCATGCAATCCTTATGCAGGTAGAGTAGGAGGCAAGGATGGACCTCAGAGCAGGGGCATGGACGGCATTCGACCAGTGATCCGGCCAGCTAGCGATCACGCGAGAAAGGA